TAGCGCCCTACACAGCACGGTTTATATAGCGCCCTACACACCGTGGTTTATATAGCGCCCTACACAGCACGGTTTATATAGCGCCCTACACACCGTGGTTTATATAGCACCCTACACACCATAGTTTATATAGCGCCCTAAACACATCACAAGCAACATCACAGAGATCCCTGCCAGCAGGTACTCTAATGGCACTGAGGTTACCATGGTTACCTGCGCACATGTCCATGTCTGGGAGCCATGACTTTTTTTTACCTATACATTTCTCCAAAGAGGCAAAGAGAGTGAGTGAGGAACCTCAACAGGGTACATTATCCACCAGCGTGTATAAAGGGTATAGTTATGCCTGGTTACCATAGTTGGAAACAGGAAGATTAAGAACACAGTGTCTTGCGTGCGGCATCAGGTACAAGGAGCTGCCAGAAAGTGCATCCACTATGACAAAGCAATTAGCATCTCAGAAGAAGTGTGATTAAAAGAACAGCGTCTACTGTTTGGCATCAAGGAAGCAATGTGGTAATTGTCACTAAGAAGGTGGGCCGTCCAATGGGCTGCGGTTAAGTGAACGGTCCCGACCAACCGGCATAGATTCTGGGAGATGCACTCGATAGCCAATCGTGGATCAGAAGTTTGGGGAAGGAGGCGGTGAGGTGCTTAAACTGGGATGAAATATATCCTGGGATGGGTGCCTGCCCCAGGCAAAAAGAGAGGGATTCGTTTACATCCTGCAGTCAAATGGTACGTAAGCCCCCGTTAGCTTCTCAATTAGCGGCTGCGTCCGGCTGCCAGATCGAGAGCAAAGCAGGCCGGATTCATTCTGCTTTATTTACCTTGTTATTCCTTCAGCTTGCTGAAACTGCACCAGAAATTACTGGCTTTACATGTGGCATCCATTCAGGGTCGGTGCCATAAATCTACACGGCTTTACTAACAACCGCAGCCATAAGTCTACGAGCCTCAGAACCAGCTTCTTGATTGGACGAGAAGGCCACATTGCTGGGGGATGTCAGGAATGACCATTTCTGCTTTCCTGAAAACAGGTGTGTGTCATGGATAGCACTGAGGAAGCCCCATCGTCGTCTCAGCCACGCCCCTCCGGGGGTTCCGATCGATAGGGCTTCCCCGAGGTTCTGCGTCCTGTCAACCAGTTTTTCTGGCCGTACTGGTTGCTCCCGTTCCAGACACTCCTCTCCCAGCTGTGTCTTGTTTTCCCCGGTTTCAGTTTCACTATATCAGGCAACTCGGTTCTCTGATCAGTGCGAGATCTTCATGGTGTGCCCTGAGTTTGAGCGTTTTTTCCGGTGTGTGTTTCCCTGTGTTCTGACCTCTGCCACGTTTCCTAGACTCTGCCTGCCCCCTTTCTGGACCGACGCCGATCGCCCGACCCCTGCCTGGATTCCCGACTGTGTTTTGCGCCTCTCCCTCGTCTGTACTGAAGCCGATCTTCCTATCCCCCCGCCTGAGTTTCAGCTACGTTCTCGGGCTCAGCCCCGGGTACCTCTGACTTCTCTGAGGAGAGTATTAATAAAACAACAGGATTTACAGCTTTGCCGCGTCAGTGTCCGTCTTATTGCCTTCACAACAGGTGTGGGCTTCCAAGAGCACTGGTCCTCGTTGCCGACTGAGGATCGGAGGCTGCGAGAGCCGCTGCTTCTGGCCTCAGCCGTGAGCTCCAGGTGACCGTTTGATGTGCAGATCCCCATGATCTATGCGACACGTGACAGGGACCATTCTTTGGATAAATAATTTCCTTATACACAGTATACACATCACACCTCTAGCAAGCATGTGGAGAGGCCAGTGGGGACTCTTATGACAGCTAATTAAAAAGTAAACAAGTTAATCAGCGACACAACAA